ATTTATATTTTCAAATCCCATCAGAGTTGTTGTGGACACCTTGAAATACCATCCACACTCACGAGTACTTTGAAATTACAGGGATTTTGGACCTGCTGCCAGTCTTTGTTAGTTAATACATTATTAAAGAAACACATATATTAAAATACTTTGGTAACTATATTTCAGTATAATTGGTATTCTTTGTGATCCACTGTATTTTATTGTATGCACTTAAAAATATTCTTCTGAGAAGGGAACCATGAGACCAAAGGGATCCGTAGAACACAGAATGGTCAAGGAGCCCTGCTTTTAGGGATGACCATTTCTGAAGACAATGTCATGCCTGCTACCTTGACCCCCACATCCTCAGACCAGCATTTCCCAAACCTCCCAGGCAGTAGAGTAATCACTGGAGGGATTTATTATTCTGAGTGGGGCCTGAGAATCATTTTGTTTAACAAGAGCCTCAGGTGATTTGGGAAACGCTGCCTTATAATCAGTAAATTTGGGAAATGCTGCCTTAGGCTGTGTCTGTTGGAAATCAATAGCCAACTTCAGTACCTGAAGACACTTTCTTGCTCACTCCCACCTTCTGCATTGCCAAAGGGAGTCATATTCATTAGCAAGTGAGAGTAACACCACCTGGCTGCTGCAGAATTCTGTAGTGAGTTATTCATTACAATTTAGGAGAAAGGTAGAATCATGTCTCTAAAGAACCTTAAATCCATCAGATTTTGGTTTTGCTTTTTTTTTGCTTTGATTTCAAAACTCCCTTTCCCCCCCTTTTTTATAAAGATTTTATTTATTTATTTGAGAGAGAGAGAGAGCTTGAGAGAGAGCGTGAGAGGGGAGAGACTCAGAAGGAGAAGCGGGCTCCCGGCTGAGCGGGGAGCCTGATGCAGGACTTGATCCCAGGACCCTGGGATCATGACCTGAGCCAAAGGCAGTTGTTTAACGACTGAGCCACCCAGGCGCCCCCTCCCTTTCCCTTTTATGTTCCCCCCACACTTTGTCCTTACCTCACCATCAGCACTTTTCCCATTGTATCACAGTTATTCTCTTGGTGTCTCTCTCCTGGGCCCTCAGTTCACCCACACCCACTCATATATGAGTCTCCCTTACGTGCTCACACTGTATGCTGAGGCCCTGGGGACAAAAACAGGTTTCATTTATTTCAGTATACTCACCCAAGCAAAGTACCAGGCCCTCAAAAGATATTGGCTGTGTGGCGGACGGATGGGCCAGCACCAGCTCCCCTCCCTCCTATGATGGCAGAATGCAATGAACCTGTAGGCTTCCCAGCAGGGGTACGGCAGGGTGCTAACCTGGAGAGGCAAAACAGAGCAGTCGTTAATATTAAGGGTTTGAAATCCCAGCTTCTTTTACTAGCTCTGTGTCCTTGGGCAAAGCACACAACCATTCTCAGTCTCCATTTCTTTACCGGTGAGTTGAAAATAATATTTGTCTCATCGGGTTGCTCTGAGACAGCTATGAGAGTTACTTGGGCATGGGCATGGCCCTTTGCAGCTCTATTGATTGCTCACTCTTATTTACTCCATGTGGAGGACTCGAGTAAAAAAAAAAAACAAACAAAATAAGTATTTTCACTACACATCCACCAGTTAAGAGACTTATTTTAAGGAGTAAGCTCCAGGAAAGGCTAAGTGACGCACCTTAGTGGGAGTTACTTCGATCCGCTGATCAGACTGTTTCCTTTTTGACACTTTCACTGAGATCAAGGAGAATGGAGATTTTCATGGTGGAATTAGAGACGGGAGACGAGGACAGCCAGAATTGGGGGGAGGGGGCCACAGGAGAAGCCAGGGGGCGGCTTGAAGGGCTTTGGCCGTGAGGGGCTTTTTTTTTTTTTTTTAAAGATTTTATTTATTTATTTGAGAGAGAATGAGAGATAGAGAGCACGAGAGGGAAGAGGGTCAGAGGGTCAGAGGGAGAAGCAGACTCCCTCAGAGGGAGAAGCAGACTCCCTGCTGGGCAGGGAGCCCGATGTGGGACTCGATCCCGGGACTCCAGGATCATGACCTGAGCCGAAGGCAGTCGCTTAACCAACTGAGCCACCCAGGCGCCCCGTGAGGGGCTTAAGAAGCAGGGTAGCAAAAAACCTGCCGGGTGTGTGCTTTCACTAGACCCCAAGGCCAGCAGCCACCCCTGTCTTTTGCACTGTTTTTGGAACCCTGTGATAGAGGCGATCAGAAAGAGGGTGCCTCATTTCCTAGAAGGGAGGTGATGCCGTTTGTCACACAAAAATCCTTGCTGAGCACATGGTTTTCTCCCTTCCCCTTGAATCTGCCCATTCCCATCCTTTTCCAGCACCTGCCCCTCCCGACCTGACGCTCCCCTGGAGCAGGGCAGGTAGTGACCTCCTTTTCTGTGGGCTGTCTGCTTCTGCTGGCTGTGCCACCCTGGGTGGAGTGCTGACCCTCTCCCAGTTTCTGGCCCTTTCTCTGCCGTGAAAACAGTAGCCACCCCTCACAGGATGAGAAGCAGCCAAGAGGCCATGTATGCAAAGTGTTTTGCAGAACATCAAGACTTAGTAAGCATTCAATAAATGTTAGCTATTAGTATGAATACAGAGTAGGTCAGAGACCATTCACTCTTCCAGAATATATCTGTGTACTGGGCCCTGCTCTAGGAGCCTGGGATGCAGCAGCAAACAAGTCAGAGTCCCTGCTCCTACAGAATTAAGTAACAGTCATTTACTTTCCCATAAAATAAGTGTATAATTTGTCCCCAAAAAGCTTTAAGAGCACACACAGTAAAAAAATAAATTCAGTTTTCAGAATCTAAAGTTTCAAAGCTGTAGAAATTCCCGAAAACGGGTTATGTGGGCCAGTTACCCATGTAAAGTAAGTTTTCAATAAACATTAGATTGTATTAACAGTGTTTGGCCCTCATGATGATCTCTGGTTATTTTATTTAAGAATGCCTTGCTCCTCAGTTACCATATCAGTTCTTCAAGGCCAGGGTCCGAAGTACATTTTTAAAACCTCTTAAAACACATAACAAACCCTCCTTCTATGAACTAAGTATTAAGGGCTTCACAACCCCTTGCTTTATGAATGAATGAATGAATGAATGAATGAACAAATAAACACCCAGCAAGCACTGGAGTTTGCTGTTGTTGCAACTATCCTCTCGCACCTACATTTTCACCCCAGCTCACAGACACAAACAGGCATTCACAATTTTACAGAACAAAAAGTGGGTTTTATCCAATTTAAGACATATATTGCATAGTAGGCATATGTTAAAATGAGATTTCATATAAAAACCTGCCGGGTTTTTATATTCATTGCTTCTGCAAGAAGCTTTCACAGCATACAACCATCCTATGTGCTGAGAAAACCATCTTTCTTCCCCTGGCTCCCGTAAATCAGTGTGCTATTATGACGGTATGCCTCCCCTTTTACGAGGTTCTCATTCTCAGAATTCTTATAAATTCATATTAGGCCTTATTTCTATAGAGCCAAATGGTTGAGCTGAAAGAAAGTAAATCCACAACCTCATGAACAAAAACAATTACTTCTTTCCTAGTTTGAACTTTGCCTTGTTGCTTTCAGACAAAATATCTTTGGTCAGGGTTTCTCAAAATAGTCTGGAGATGACCAAATACAGGGATAAAATCGGATGCTGAAAAGAGATAAATCGAAGGGGAAAGAAGTGATTAGGGGAGAGAGGCTCTCCAAACCTTTCTTTAGTGGGATAAATCAAGAATGAACAGGAAAGGGACCCGGACAGGTAACAAGAATCTTGGGTGACGAAAACAAACCAGAGCAACTGCACCATCTTCACGCGCTCTCCCATTTTCCCTTGAGAAGCTACTTTAGAGGCTACTGTACCTATTTTTCACTCCCCTTCCCCTTAAACAGCCACCGGGCTTGCCCAGCAGGGATATCATGCACACGCAGCTGCAGCTGGGGCACCAAGCTTCACGGGGTTTCTCCTTGAGAACCATGGTCCCCACAGACAGGAAGGGGCAGATGCCCAAAAGCCTTGGGGCCCAAATATGGAGTCTATGGACACCCTGAAAGTGACAACCCTGACACACCTCTCTGGTTTGATTAGGTTATGTAAAAAAGCATTTAAAACAAAATAGAAATGTGCTAGAATCTAAATTAAATTACATTAGCGGGAGGAAGTTTCAGAGCTTGGAACCCACATGTAAATGCGTGATATCAGGACTGTCCTCCCTGGTGCTGGAAGTGGGAGAGAGGACCTGCGCCCCTTTCCAATGCCCTGCACCCACCTTTCCCCCCCACCTCCTGGGGACTGAAACCGGGGTGTCCAAGGCAGGCAGGCTGCCACAGACTGATTTCACATAGGTTCTTACAGATATTGTCCCAGAAGGCTCCCCAGCTTTAAAACCAGCAGCCAGATAGATTTTCATTTTACAGGTAAGTTTCGTGGAGAACGTGTCTTCCGCTTATTCCCTGGGTACATGGTGAGCTCTCCACTGTGCAGAGGGCTTCAGAAAGGCAGTTTGGGCCCAGGGCACACATCTGGCTCTTACCCAAGCTCTTTCACTACCAGCTGGACATCTATGGGCCCATCACTTAACCACGATGAGCTTTAGTTGCCTCCTGAGTTTGAACAAGATCGGTTGAACAAGATCTCAAACCCTGGTGTACTGGCATGGGGGCAGGGGAGGGCTGGAGGGGGTATTTAAAAATGAAAATGCATCAGATCCAGATTTAGAGATTTTGACTCAGTAGGCCTAGGGAAGGGTTCAGAAATGTGCATCTCTAAACCCCACTGCCGACCCCACTTTGAGAAACACTGGACGAATTCCAGCTCTAATGTTCTCACATTCCATGAATTTGTCCTCTCTGGGGTGACCATGTTGAGCCGCCTGGCACGCCCTCAGCGTCTGCCTGCCCTTGGCAGCAACGGTGCTAACCACAGGGAGGGCACGTCCGCATGTGCAGGGGAGCCGCGGGAAGGCAGCAGAGTTGACTGGGTCGTGAGGGGAAAACACTGACCACCTTGTCTCTGCCGCTCAGGTGACAGGTGGAGTCTGGAACTTCAGCCGCGTTTGCTGCGATGTTTTCGTCACCCTGGATGTCATGATGTGTACCGCCAGCATCCTGAACCTCTGCGCCATCAGCATCGACAGGTAGGGCTGGGATTCCCCTGCCAGCAGATGTTGGCTGCCAGGCGGTGTGGGAAACCAGCCTGGGGAAGCTGCTCCTGCTGTTTGGGGCGCCCAGGCTTTGCATTTGAGGGCACTGGGGTCTCTGCCAAGTGGAGCTTAACCCCCGGGACATCTTCTTCTCGCTATTTTTCTTTTAAACTATCGTTTGCAGTAGAGAAGAAACCCCTGTGGCAGGAGAAAAACAATCATCCCATAAGCTTTCCTAGGCTTTCCTTCCTCCCAGAGCCCTAGAGAGGATTCTGGGTTTGCCTTTGGGGGCTTTTGTGATTCCTAACTGGGGGCAAAGGGGGAGGGGGACAAGGAGAGAAGGGGAGCTGACAAGAGTTGGGAGGAAAACTTCCTGTTATTAGGTTGTTTTTTTTTTTAAGAAGGGAGGGGGAAAGAAGAAGAGGGAGAGGAGAGAGAAAAGCTTGGGAGGATTTGCAAGGAAGGGAGAGAGGACAGAAGTGGGTGGGGAGAAGGGTGATTTTAGGAAGTAGGGCTGTGATCTATTTATTTATTTATTTATTCCCTTCATAGAGTTTAAGGCAAACAAGTAAACAATGATGTCTCTCTAGAATTGCTTTTCGGTTGCTGGAGTGGATCTCTGTGACTGTGACTCAAATCTGTGGACGTTCCATCCGAGTGGTATCTCTTTCCATCCCCAAGAGCGGGCTGCCCTGGCCCCGGGTGCCTCTGTTGCTCGCTTCTCCTCTCGTGTGGTTCCCTCACCTCTTTCCCCCCTTCCCCTGCCTGGGCCTTGGGCGCACCCACGGCTCCCCTGGACATTTCCAGGCCCACAGAGAGCCCTGGGGAAAGAAGTTCACCCTCCAGTCTGAGGCCTCTCTTGCTACTCAAGAGCCTCCACCCTTCCCTTCTCTGAGCCCCCTCCTGCCTCCCTCCGCAACCACTGTCCACCTCTTCCCTCTCCTCCACCCCTTCTCCCAGCAGTACCATCCACCCTCTCCTTAGCTTGAACGGGGAACCCAGACAAGGTCTGCCAATCATTGAGAACTTACCTACTGTGCTAAGGCTTTGCCAGGCACTCCCTCATTCCATCTTCACAACAACTCATCTGCTACTATTATCTTCATTTCCGCTTCTCAGGGGGATTAAGGAATTGGCCTAAAGTCACACCCCTCCAATGGAGCAGTATCAGCATTGGAATTCATGTCTATCTGACTCCAAGTTCATGATCTTGGGCTTTGTGCTAAGCCCCCTCAAATCTCCAGCTACACCCCTAAGATCTCCCCTGAGTTTCAAAACCTATTACCACCTAGACAGCTCACTGGCTCCTTGACACATTAAAAGCCAAACGATCAAAGCACCAAACCATCTTGCCTTGATCATCCCTTATTGGCAGCATCATTGCCTTACAATCTCAGGTTTTGTCCCCTTCCTCTTCTTCATCTCCCACATCTAAGCAGTCAAGGCTTATAGACTCCATTTTTGGCCGTTTTGCCCCCAGATTTGCCCCTATCTTTCCTTTCTTACTGTGCGTGTTTACTGTTGGTTCCTATGACCTGTCACCAGACTTCTGCCACAGCCTCCTAACTGGTCCTACACGCCACTCTCTGAATCGATCCCCCGGCAGTTAAGTTCAAATGTCCATTGCCCTCCCCAAAACTCTTCAGCGTCTCCTTGGCCTGGGGAGTAAATATCAGAATTACCTTCCCAGCCTAAGATTCAAAGTTTGCTGCACTACGGCCTCAGTCTATCTTCTCAATCTCATCTCTTTCCAGGTTGCCCCAAATTCATCTCTTGCTTCAAGGTCTACCCCACCTGCCCCCTGTCCCACAAAGCCCTTGCAAATTTCTACAACTTGTTTCAGTCATCCCTGAACTCTCACAGTACTTTCTCTTTAACTATCTCAAGGCATCTCCAGGTCCTAAAGCAGGTCCTCCTCGCTTCCCAATGTTTGACGTTTGCATGACCCAGGGTTGTGCCCTCTCTATCAGCAGCCTAAACTCCCTTTCATGTGCTGAGATGGAAATCTTGAACAATAACCAAAAAATGGATCCGAAACCCTGCCCTCTAGTGATACTGCTGACCAATCAGTCAACCAGATAGTCTTTTGACTTTTACCACTTGCACTGGCTCTCCAACTGAGAAGGAGAATTAAAGAATGTGTCCATAAGGCTGGAACCCATACCATTAAAGAATGTGTTTAAAAATAAAGGGAGATAGGCACATGATTCTATAAATACACCCCAAAACATTGAATTACACACTTTAAGTGGAATGCATTGTGCGATACGTGGATTATATCTTGATAAAGCTGTTTTAAAATGAAGGGATAGTTAGGGATTTTATAATATATTTCACTCTTTGAGAATAGAACTCTGCTTAGAACATGTAAGTCTTTTGTGTGATTTCTGGACACTTAGTACCTAAATATATAAGTGATATAAGAAGCAGACTGCCTCTGGTTTGCTTATTATCACCTCTACCACCCCAAACCCGTACACTAGTCCTAGCTAAGGACCTAAACGGAACTGAGTGGTCCTTGTCTGAAGGTAGCCACTGTTTATAGTACAAAGATGCACCTTCAGAAAGAACATGAGCCAGGGGGTGAAGATCAAGCCTTGGAGCAGGGAGCCGGGAACTGTACAAAGAGCTACTAAGAGAGGCTCTTTGGCAGCCCCCTCCTTGCCTCCTGGTTCCCGGCTCTCCTCTCTACCCTCTTGAGAGGGTGCCTACACACTCCACCCACACACATCCACCCGTGGGGTGCTGGCAGGTGGAGGTTGTGCCCTGCACAAGCATCTGGGAACTGAATTCAGCCAGCCTTTCTCTGCAAACCTGGAGTTGGCCAGGAGAGGGTGCCTCTTTCCAACTGCACAAGAGCATCCTTTTACCGGCGGCATCCATGCTTGACATTCACTTCCACCTTCCACCACAACCAAAAGAGTAAAGCCTGAATTGGCTTTTGTGACCTAGAGGAAAAGCCCCAGAATGCATTGCCCTCACTACCTGAACTCAGGAACCAAGCCAGGCCTTAGACCCCAGTGGAGAAGGATGCTTTCTTCTTGCCTTGTGTGTCGACATGAACCCATCCCCACCAAACCTCAAGATGGAGGCTCTCCTCTGTTCTAGGAATGAAAATCGGCCTTGGAAAAGCTGTCTCCATCATCCTTCAGGGCCGTATGCAGTACACAGCATTAAATTCTGTTCATGGGATGCCAAATAGCTGGTCAACTCATTAAAAATGCAGTCATTCATGCAGACCTTTGGTCTGCACACAATGCTACTCACCAGTCTGACAAACTTGACCAAATGGATTCAGCATTTTTTTGGCCGTGAAGCCTTGGTATGTACTAACAGGGTAGTAAGAGCTAGGAAAGGAAACGAAATGATAAAGAGAGGTTTTGAAAGCAAGTAATACCATTGTCATTAGATTCTTAGGCATAGCCCTGGATGCTTGCATTAATGCTGCCTTTTCTTTTTTAAGAAGCACAAGGCCCTTCTCCCCCAACCCCCCTCCTTGGCGCCTTGCCTCCCCAGGGGGCCAGCCCCCTCCCACAGCATCCTGGGTCAGAGCTAGCTTTGGGGAGAGGGCTGAGAAAGTGTCAGGGGAGGAGGACACGTTCTGAGCGGTGAGAATTTGAGTCCTCCGCTAGGGGCCCGGGAATAATGCGACCAAATTCATTCACCAGAGAGTTCTTTAAGTGGCTCTCAAACGGCACCCGTCACACAGGCGAGCCCCCGCTCTTTGAAGCAAGCACAATAGGTACCAGATGAGTCACAGGCACCTTGGATTTTTCGTTTGCATCTAAATAAGCACTTTATATTTGCAAAGGCCTTTCCAGTCATTTGCAAAAAGCTTTCTCCTTCAACAATTCCACGAGGGGAGTCCACAGAACTAAAGATTTATTGAGCCCCCTGTCTGACCAAATAAAAGGTGGTGAAAAGCAGCCCTCACAGAGCCCTGGGGCTCATTAAACCCAGGCAGGGAGTTAGACTCAAGCCCTCCCACCCAGGCCAGCCTCTTTCCTCCCCCACGGCCAGCTTCCCAAGGGGGGCACCCATATCAGTCTCCCCCCCCCCCGACACACACACACACACACACACACACACACACACACACACACACACACACACCTCCCAGCCTAGGACAGGGCTTCAGGTGGAGGTCACGTTCCACCAGGGTCCTGAGACTTTCAGTAGAGTGACAAGCCTACCACCCCCCAGTCACAGAACTGGGAGTCAGAAGGGGCATTATAGTTTAACTCATTTGTGCAGAAATGTTACATGTTGTAGGGGCTCCCGCAGCCTCTGAGACAGGTCTGGGACTAGAACCGGAGTCTCCTGACTCCCGCATGGTAGAAGTAGGGATGGGGCACCAAGAGCGAGACCCCTGGCCATGTCAGCAGCCGCCACTATAAGTGCTCTTTCCTTGGAGTAAAGGAAGCATATTTCCTATGTCTTCGGTGCCCTGGCTCCTCCTTGGTAATCTGCACTTGCATGAGTCTAAAAGCAGCAACCATCAAATAGCTACCATTTCTGTAGCATGTACCATGGGCCAAGCTAAGAGCTTTTCATTCTTGCAGCACCCCAGCAAGATAGGGGTATTAACCTCATTTTACAAGTGAAGAGTCTGAGGCTAGACCGCGTAGCCTGCCCGGATCACACCACCAGGAGATGCAGGAGTAGGAATCCAGTCACCCTCCTTCTTCTACAGCACGCTGCCTGATGCAGCAGCACCTTCCACACTCTGGGCCCCTAGCTCTGGAGCCCCCACTGCCTGGCTACAACACCTGGCTCTACCATCTGATAGCAGTGTGAGCTCCGGCAAGTCAGTTAACCTCTCTGGGCCTCGGTTCCCTTACCTGTTTTGTGAAGACCATAGCAACAGAGTTATCACAAGGATGAAATGAGTTAATATTTGTAAAGCACTTCAAACAGCTGCTAGCATATAGAAAGTGTTATATACTTGTTTGATAAATAAATACATTTAATGTTCCGTTTAATGTTCCCAGGAACAAGGGGCAGATACCCATAAACGTACTGATAAGGATAATCACAGATCCCTTGGGCTAGCACAATAATATGACAACAGTAATAATAATAATAATACTGTTTTTTGTTTTTTTTTAATGTTTAATAGGTACCAGACATTGTGCTAAAAGACTTCACAGAGATAATCTTATTCAACGTTCTTAACAGCCCTATCCGGCTGCATCATTACCCCCAATGTACAGATAAGGAAATTGAGTCTCAGGGCAGCCAAATTCTGGCCCAAGGCCACGCAGTTAAATGGAAGAGCTGGGATTCAGACACTAATCAGTCTGTACGTAACCACCTTGCACGCTGCCAGGGTTCTGACCATGTCAGAGAGAGCCGGGTGAACTAGGAGCTCCCAGGAGAGGAGGCGAGGGAGCGGGAGGGGTGCGCGCAGAGTGGAACAGCGCGGTGAGCGCCGCGGCGGGTCCCAGGCGGCCCAGGCCAGCCTCCCGCTTGCGTCCCTGCCCTCGCTGAGGGCGGTCACCTGGGGCCCATTCGGGAGGAGACCAGATTCTGCCCGGGTGAGGATTCAGGGTCCCCGCAGGCCTCCGGGACCCCGCCGAGCCGAGCCTTCCCGCCCTGCCTCCGCACGGGGCCCGAGGAGCCAGCAGGTGAGCGTGAACTTCTCACCCGCCGCGCCGGCGGCTCTCGCTGCATTAGGGCGCCCTCTGCTGGCTAGCTCCGGAACGGCACCTGCCTCTCCGATCCCGCGGCTTGGCTCCCTGGCGGGGAAAATCCCGCGTGCGGGCGAATTCGGGGGCCTCGTTTGTAACAAGAGTTTAATCGTGTTCGGGAAACAATACGAAGAAAAATGAATCGTAACAGTGATCAGTGTAGTTTCATCTCTCACTTGTTACCCAAGTTAACAAGAATTTCTGACCGAAATTTCCTTTAAGGCAGAAATTTTTCTCAAATTTGCTCGATTGTAAGATGCCCTGGCTTGTTCAAAACGCACATTTCTGGGTTCCACTCTGGAAGTACTTAATCAGAATAGCTAGGGACGTGGCCTGGGAATCTGTATTTCTAACAGGACACACACACACACACACACACACACACACCCCGACCCACCCCCTCCCTCTCAGGTAATTGATAGACTCAAACTAATTGGGGAACATTCTGGGAATCCAAAGTGCTCTCAGATAGAAACCACCCTTTAATGCCTGCTGTCTTGAGGAAGCCCTCGTCCCCACCCGGCCTCAGAGACTTGACAGTGGCCTTGAGAGGGTGAGGGGCACACAGGAGAGACACTGGCCTCAGAGGTGGGATACCCGGGGCTTCCACCACCAGCTGGGGGACTTTGGGTTCATCAAGTCACCCCTCTCTGTCTCCGATTCCTCCTCTATAAAAAGGAGCCAGCGTTCCCTACACGTACTGAATTAACAGGAGCGTTCACGGAGTTGCTGAACATTAGCGTATACCTAGGACAATTTGCTCAGCGGCGCGCTTGCAGCCAGCTCATGATGACTAGCAAGAGCTGAAAGGCAAAATTTTAGGAATTGTTTGGGCTGGGTATTAAACCTTTGGTGTAGCTTGAAACGGGCAACGGTGGGAGTATTTATACCATGAAAATAGACAAATGGTACCAATTAGGACTGTTTTCACCTAGAGAGCCAGTTGTTAGCTATTTAGCAGCACACTCCTGAATGTATGGGGCAGTATCAATGGACATTATGTAAATAGAAGGCCGGGGCACAACAGTAGGTCTGGAGAGAAGGAAGTGGGTCATACCTTTCCTCCCCGTCTCCCAACAGCTGTTTGGTCACCATAGCCCTTTGGGCTCAAGGCTCAGCCTCCCCTCCAAGGCGCCTCAGGGACCACTGCTAGGGGCCAGACATACCTGACTCAAAGCCCCAGCCCACTGCCCCAGCAGAGTCCAAAGTCCTGAGGAGAGTGACAAGCCTAGAGGAACACCAGGTGCTACTCGCCTGCTCCTTGATCACCAGTTTAGGGACTCAAGGAAGGATTTGTAGCATCTGTGCATCAGAAGAGGGGAACCGAGTTCTCATAGTCCTCCGTTGGGGTGGATGGTGGGATCTTAATCTGACCTTATTAAATAAAGACCTCTATTTCTCCCTCTTGAGAAAGAAGCCACCTCTGTCACACATCATGGTACCAAGGCCAAGTCTTGCAGAGTCGCTAAAGCTGCTCTTATGGGAATGCAAATGCTAACACATAAACTCTAAGGCCAGATACACACAAGGTGGGGATTTGGGCAGCCTGGCTCACAGAGGACGATCATGTGTGCCCCACCCCCTCCAGCCCAGGGTCTGTTCTCCCTTTCCTCAGCCCCAAGCCTTGAGGGACACAAGAGGAGCTAGGGAGGATCCTGCTCTGAATCTGACCGCTAGCTTCCCTGGACACTGAGAAGACAAAACTTGAGCCTATGTAGACACAGCTATACACACTAGATTCCTCGAGCGTGGCTAGGATTCGAATTGTCCTCTTATGTGGAAGGCCTTCAGGATCCACAAGGCAAGCAATCAACAGCCTTGTACTACTTGCATGGTGCAAGGACCGCTGAGGAATACCAAGTCTACAACATGATTTGAGTCATCAAGTAACAAATCGTATGGGATCTATGTCTCTTCAGCCATGAGGCATGCAGTTTCTCATTATTGAACTTGTCCAGTCCCTTTTAAGGGCTTACCTGGTTAAGCCAGGCCCACCCTTTTGATTAACTCAGTCTATTGATTAGTAATCTAATCACAGCAGTGACATCACATGGTATTCTCAAGTTCAGCCTCCATTCAGTGTGGGGGATTGTACAGGGCAGGCATCTTGGAGGCCATCTTAGAATTTGCCTTTCTCAAGCGGTTTCCATCTGGGGGATCCAGGATGGGGAGGACATGATGAAATCTACTTTTAGAGCCTGGCAGCAGGGACCAGCCAGGAGGCTGTGGCCATCACAGAGAGCAGCTGGTAGGAAAGAGATGCATGGATAAATGGGGAAGACATCATAAGTAAATGTATAGGATCAGCTATCTTTTGGCTCAGCAGCTAGAAATGTGTGAGAGGAGTTGCCACGGAAAAGACGATGTCCAGTAACACAAAGAACTGTGCGTTGACCATGCCAAAGCATGTGCCGTAGACCGAATATTTGTGGCTCCCCCAAGCTCATATGTTGATATCCTACCCCCCAAAGTGATGCTATTAAGAGGTGGGACCTTTGGGTGATAATAAGGTCATGAGGGTGGAGCCCTCATGAATGAGATCAGTGCCCTTAGAAAGGAGACCCCAGCCCCTTCTGTCATGTGAAGACACAGTGAGAAAATAGTCCTCTATTTTCCACAAGGAAGTGGGGCCTCACCAGACACTGAATCTGCCAGTGCCTTGATCTTGGACCTCTCAGCCTTCTGAACTGTGAGAAATAAATGTTTGTTGTGTAAGCCGCTGAGTCTCTGCTATTTTTGACAGAGCTGCCTGAATGGACTAAGAGAGCATGAAAACTGGATTTTGAAATAAGCCTTCACTAGATATTACTCACCTCTATTTTTAAAATCTCCACCACTTGGAATAGTTGTCACTAGGAGGGTTAGAATTTATATTAGGATACAAGCAGGGGTAGACATCCTCTTTGGGCACAGTTCTAGCATTGTCTGGAAAACCGTGGGAGAAAGTAAAGGCACACAGACCAGCACCCAGAGTCTTGGAGATTCGGGTATGCAAGTACAAGTTTCAGGTGTGCGGGGAGGAGCCTGCCGGCGGCCCAGTCCATTACTTTACTAACTTTATTCTTCTTTCCCCCTTTCCCTGCTCGGGGAGTTCTTCATCTCTCTTAGCTCAGCCTTTCTACATTTTCACTCAAATACCCTTTCTCTCTTTCTCCAACCAAACTCTTTTGCTCCTGCCACATGGATCACCTAGATTAGTTCTCTAGGAACATCTGTCCACTTTTGGAAAGATTCCCCCACCCCTTCTCATCATGGTCATCCCTCCCTGCTTCCTTTCACAGGTACACCGCGGTGGTCATGCCAGTTCACTACCAACATGGCACTGGACAGAGCTCCTGTCGGCGCGTGGCCCTCATGATTACAGCCGTCTGGGTACTGGCCTTTGCTGTGTCCTGCCCTCTCCTCTTTGGCTTCAACACCACAGGTAACAATGATGGCCCCTCTCACGACACCCATGTGATTCACGGCACACCTGAGTGGCTGTGAGTGGTGCTGAGCCTGGAAGTTTCTGACCCTGATCAGCATACTTCAGAACCAAATAAGGATGCCATAGGCTGCAAAGCTTTGGGTTTTGATTCAAGTACAAAGCAGAACCTCATCAATTATTGGCACATAAAGTTCTTCCCCAGTTAGTGAAAATTCTGTCCTATCCTTATTTTGAAAGAAATGTCATTGTATTCATGGGAAGCGATGTATCAGTTAGAACATTAAACTATATTAATAATTCAGGTGAGATTTGCTAATGAAAAGATGACAATTCATGATGGACTTCCAAGGCAAAATAACACTATAAAGGCCCTCAAATGGGATATCTATTTCTAATTTTTTACTAAACAAAAATCATTTCTGGTGTTTGGGAATTGATATAGATCCCTAAATTATTGGAGAGTATATTTTTATATCTTAATATACAAAAATTCTGGCCATGATGGTTGGCACATGGTACATCTTCTATCGGATGGATGGACAGACAGATGGGTGGATGGATGGGCATATGGATTAACAATGTGAATGTCTGAGATGTTTGGTTTTTAGACACAAGACACCGATCCAGGTTTACACCTCATATGGATCAATGCCTTCTTTGGCTATTCCATATACATCTTTCAGCCTCAGGGATTTCATGTGTTGAATGAAAACTACTAGCACATGTAATAAAGTTAACAGGTATTGACAATGAACACTGAGTATTTGCTGAGAACTAATTGAGTCAGGTTCTAGTGTTCATCTGGATTTGTTTAATTCCTACTATCTTCCAAGTTCATTAGTTTCTGGTGTATATGTACAAGTCACATAGCTGTGTATTTATATATATACAGATATTATAGGTAACACATTGCATATAAATACAGGCAAATCCTAACTTATGAATAGTCATCAAAGAGTCATTTGCCGGCCAGTGATTTAAAAGTCAAAACACATTGAGGAAGACAGATAGAGGCTCTGGAGTCAGAAAAACCTACATTCAAACTTCAGTTCTGCTACTTACCAGCTGTAAGTAGTCTATATATTTAAATTTGCTCAAGTGTATGCTTCAGTGTATTATTATCCCAAAATATAAAGGCCCAGTGGATATTAGCTACCACTTTTGTTGTGAAAAAAAAAAAAGCTACTTAGCTTTTCTAAGTTTTCTTATTGATAAATTTGGGATAATAATACACTGAAGCATACACTTGAGCAAATTTAAATATATAGATTAAGTCTATATATTTAGGTGGAAAGTTTCCAGCATTTATTTTTTCATATGGCCCCCCTGCACATAAGCCCAGCAACTTCATTTCTGAAACTGCATGTTGTGTTTGAACTCTTTACAATATATGACATAGTAATGTATGTATCATACATCTTTTCTCACTACTCTCCGGGGCTCTAGTAAAACCATGTATATCTTCGTATGTGATTCAGGAGATTTTTCAAAGCAAATTTCAGGGCTAGATAATGTTCACTTTAATCGCTGACTTTAGAATCTGCCACTACATATGATATAATTCCACTGTACTTGCTTCATAGAACTTTTTCATAATTAAGTGAGGATTAAGTTGGAGTAACATATGTAGACCGGCCAAACACACACCATACGCTCAAGGTCAGGTTTCTTTGTCAGCTACATTGAAGGTTAAGTCAATGTCATGTTGAGTCATCCAATGAATATTTGCCTAGTTTACTCAGGGTGTTCCTAAAATATGATGTTACTATCACGTTTGCGTTACTCTTTACCATTCGTTACTTTGTTATTTTCATTGAACGACACTTTATACACACAAACATGGCTGTGGACACACACATACTCCCCGAAGCAACATTCCCTAACACAACTCTGAGAGGCTGCCTGGCATTAAAATACTATTTTTGATGAGTGTTAAATATACTTTTTGGGTTCATCTGCTAACTAAGCCACCTTCTATATCTTAGTATCTACACAAAAATACATTATTCTAAGTTGGAATGTGTAGTATGGGAACTCAGTACTACTGGCAGACCCCGGCACTGCTTACCCCTGGTCAGCAGCAAACCCCCACCAACATTCAGTCTGCGAAGTGGCTCCTCTTACTCATTCCGGGAGGTGGGGGGGGGGCTGTTTTACTCATTCTCTCTCTCTCTCTCTCTCTCTCTCTCACACACACACACACACACACACACACACACACAAACACACACACACCCTAGTAACAGTTAAAAACAGTCTCAACATCTGACAGTAGACCGAGTTCCCAGTTAATGTCAACATCTAAAGTGAAGATGAATGATGAGCTAATTGCAGTGGTGTTGCCACCAGTGAGATCATTATTATTCCAGAAACAAAACTCAGAAAACTGTCTCTCCAAGTGGATTTTCAAATATAGCATTGAGAAGGCAAAAATGCTCGCTTCTCTCTCATCTCTTTCAATCTCTTACTTTAAAGAAGTACCTGATTTATTCTATTGCAACTTTTTTTTAAGTCATTCATTCATTTATTTATTGTAGTAATCTCTACACCCAACGTGGGGCTTGAACTCACCACCCCAAGATCATATTCCTCTGACTGAGCCAGCCAGGGGCCCCTCTTTCTCTTACTTTTAAGTTTATTAATAAGACTATAGTAAGCCCTCCATTTATTCATATGTAGCATCCAAGTGTCAGGTCCATTGTAAAGGCCCAGTGGGTATCAGCTACCACTCTGGTTGTGATTACTGTGTGTTAGAAAAGGGTTCTGTACATCCAAATTTAACTCTGCACCTGCTCCAGAGAAAATCTGAGTAGCAGCAGTTCTGCTGGTGGTTATAGAGACCAGTCGCCTCGTCCTAGAACACAGTTCGGGGAATTAGTGAGCAGAACTCAAGGCGAGGCAGCCCGGCTATCCTTCTCCGCCTCTGTCTGACCTTCAGAGTACAGCTTCATTATCTTGATGGATGTCGGTTCCTCTAGCAGCTCTTCCAACTATAAGGAAGCTCCCAAGTTCATTCGAAAGCCCAATATAAATGACTCCTCTCAGCCATTTGTTTCTACTCACCCTGTGAAAAGTAGAGGAGGCAAGGGCAGGGTACCGCCAATGACACCTGAGAGTGGAAGGGGCTGGATTTTCACTAAGCAGTGCAACACAAAGGAACTTCCTGGCAGAGCTCTTTTTAATGATATGAGCTGCCATATGGGATTATGAATTGTCAGACGACATAAGGCAGAAAAATGTTGAACTTCAGTTTCCTTCATCTTGGCGTTGTTCTTATTGTCCGAGATGCAACGTGCACTTCTAGATATGCACATAAGGCAGGATCTGCGGTCACAGAGAATTCCAAGGTTGGGGGGCCCTGGCTGATCAGTGTTGCCCCAGCTCCCAGCAGGGGCCCAGCAGTCTAGCTAAATACCCCATCATTGACAGCATGCAGTACCGGTACTAAAGGAAACGCTAAGAATCCCTGAATGGACAACCTAATACTTTTATTTCACAGGTACAAGACTAAATAGTCTTAATTTTCCTTTGAAACAAGGAAATGGAAGACTACCATCTAGATTTGAGCAATAGAATCCCTCACCTGGCTTTCAGAACACTGGAGCTGGTGGAAGCCTGGTTGAGAAACACATAGTTAAAAGAATAACAGGCTCATCCTGAATTCAGGTGCATCAGGCTCTCTTGTCTTTGGGGACAAGGTGAAGACAAATCCTTCCAGGAGCTTTAAGTTCATGAACCTGTCAAGTCAACCTGCTTTTGGCCTTGCCCTTCACATCACTGTGGGGCTCAAGCTCCTAGGCTAGCCCGCAAAAGCCTCTTCCACCCCTTTGTGGAGCTATTTAGTGTTTTTGTCGCCCAGCATGGTGCCTGGAACAGAGTAGGTTCTCCATAAACTTTTGTTGAATGGGTAAGTCGATGAGTTCTTCTTATCATCCGTTCTTCCTTAAATGTTAAGATTAGTTGGGGTAAACATCCTCAATCTCAGAGAATGAGGCATAACCCTCTGGTTTTCCCCATTGTCTTCCAGCCAGCGACTGCTTATGTGCTGATGTAAAAGGCTCATTTGTCCACTTCACTCATGTATTTGTCATTTTCATATTCATCCAATAACTACTATACTAATAGCACAGTACTGTCTTCGTTAAATAATCATGACAAGGCAGCTCATCTCCGGGTGGGGGTCGGGGGAGGCTCACTGCCCTCACCACCTCATCTGGACTCAGCAGAGAGAAGCTTCCAGAATTGCTGCCCCGCCAACAGGACACATACCCAGACCAGGCCCAGTGGGAGCCGGGGCAGGGTCTCATTCACTGGCCACCAGCCTCCAGGGTCACTTCACCCATTGACAGGCCTCACAGGACTTCGTGGCCTAGAGAAATTGTGGGAGAGGCCGCAGAGCTCAATCTAAGGACGGGCAGCAGTTTACTCAGATAAGAGAGGCAGAAAGGGATGACTGTGCAGGCTCAGTGATTGTACACGGAGGGCCTTCGGTGGCCAGCAACTCTGAAATAGCTGTGTTCTCTCTTCGCTCTCTCTCGTGTGTATGCTTTCAATATTTTAATGGAAAAATAAATACTTACCCATAAAACACAAGGTATAAGGGGTTACACAGGCACACATATATGTAGGCCTCCCTTCTACCTTAGATCGTTAGCTGCCCCATGACCCTCCCCAGAAGCAAACACTAATCATCTTAAAGATAATGCTTGAAACAAGTATGTATACACACACACACACACACGTGTGTGTGTGTGTGCATTGTGTGGGTGTTTCTACTTTTTACACAAATAGAAGCATACTACACCCACTTTTGCTCCTGGCTTTTTAAAAGTAGGAGTTAATACCATTGGGTATGAAGGAGCACACTTGTTGCGATGAGCACTGGCTGTCTGTCATATGTCAGTGATGAATCACTAAATTCTACCCCTGAAACTAATATTACACTGGACCTTAACTAACTGGAATTTAAATAAAAACTTGAAAAAAAAGTTGGAGTTAGTATATAAAATCTAGAGATCGGCTTCCCAGAACCCAGAGGAGAGTAGAGAAGGGTAGAAGGTATATCTGGAGGGGCGAACGGGGCATACCCCGCACACCAGCAATGGTAAGCAGACGAATAGTGGGAAGGTATCTACCCCTGCCACCATCCTGGCCCCCTTCTCACTAGCACAAGGTGCTCAGGCATCTCCTCACAGGAGGCGTTTAAATCGTGGCCAGATGCTGACAACAGGGGAGCTGATTTCAGGAAGAGGGCTGATCACTGCCTACATGACTCCTTATAGATTCAGAAAGACCAGCAGCGGCCACCCTATCCTACCTCCAACCCCGTCTCCCCCAGAGTACCAGAAAGTGCCCATTTGGTGACCACTGCTTGAAGTTTTGTAAGCCATTTTCTAAAGGTTGTTGACAGAGACTTGGTGAGAGGACATTAATTTTTCCTGAATTTTACCCTCCTCCCAAGAGAAACAAAAACTTTGGGAGCAGCTCCTAAAGATCCTCGTGTCAGTGCTATCATTAAAAGGCCTCGCTGAGAAGTGAGTACACTTTTTGTTTTAATTCTTAGCTGTTGCTCCCCTCCCTCCCCCACAGATATTGTTCTTTATAAGTCTCTCTACGGGTTTCCACTCCAAATGATACCTTGCCTTTTAAGTTCAAACAGCTCAGAGGAGGTATATAATAAATAATAATAGTAAAGAGTAAATAGTAATAATAGCTACCATTTATCCTCATTTAGTCTCATGAGACCTTATTTTTATCCTTCTTTTCAGATAATGAAGCTGAGGCCTAGCATAGTTAAGCAATGTGCTCAAGTTCACAGTTAGTAAATGGCAGACCTGGGTCTCCCACCCCAGGCCTGGCCTCTGCCTAGCTCAGAAGACTGAAAGGCAGAATGAGGGGCCCAGATGGCTGGCTACAGCCCTCTCCTCTACAGCTCACACCTGTGACTATACCCTCTGAGGCCAGATCTGGGGTTGTTGAGAATCCCCTACCCTTTATAAAGATTGGTTGGGTATCCCAACAGCAGTTGCTGCCAGTGCGGGGCGAAGTGTAAATTTGCCATTCCCGGGGACGGGTGGGGGGTTGGGCAGCCAAAGTGTAGAGGGAGGCAAGTCAAAATCACAGAAAGAGCACTGGTTATAAGGTCAGAGTGACTGGAGAAACTTATCCAGGCTCTGCCCCTTTCAGGCTATGGGATGCTGGGCCACTTACTGAACCTCTCCGAGCCTTAGTCTGCTCGCCTGAGAATAGAGTCTGTGATGGCTCCTATGTCCCATAATGTTGCCACAGTGATTAGGTAAGATGATGTGTATAAAGGCCTTGGCACACCATCTGGAAGATATTCGTTTTCTTCCCTTTTCTCTCCCAGATGAGGCAAGTTACAGGCCCTATTCTGGGCATTGGAGGAATTTCAACATCTGCTAGCAAAAACAGCAAAACCACAAGGACTCTCTAAAGTGTAGGGACAGGTGCATTTCAGGACATAGAGCAGGGACAAAGGTGCTCCTCATTTCACATTGTCCACAGTGACAGTATCCTTAACACCCGTTCCCCATCCTACCCCTGATGGGTCCTGAGATTCCCCAAAAAACAGAATTGCCTGCATTCAGCCACCACCTGCCCTGTACCTCAGATACACGTTGGAGACTTGGCGTTCTCAACAAAGAAGCCTCCCTCTCTTTGCCTTCAACAACCCCTTAGTGCCTCCGCACCAGCAGGCCCTTTTCTGGGGGCTGCCTCGCCCCCAGGAGCCTCTGGCCTGTTGCTCTATGACACTCCCCCCAGCCTCCCAGGCCACAATCCTCTGTGACACTTAACACGGCCTTCAGGAAGATCGCCTGTCTGTGTAGACTGAGCCCTTCAAGGACAGACATGTATGCAGCCCGGTGAAGAGCAGTGTCGGGCATGGAAGCACGGGGTAATTTTCTTTTTAAGGGAACTGTGAGCAACACAAAGATGAATTGGACCTCCTCCCCTCAGGGAACTGACAACATAATCTCTCCCACCCCCACAACTCCACAAGCACCCGTGTGTGCTAGTAACACCGAAGAGGCAAGGTGAGGGCTGGGGGGCACAGAGGAAGGAAGAGCTACTTCTGACTGAGGAGCTGATGGAAGCCTCCACAAATGAGGCAGCATGTGAACTGAGAGTCAGGGAGAGGGGAGGAGGGCCCGGAACCCCTACTTCCCGAAGCCCCATGTGGCTTAAATGGTGGAGACACCACACATGGTATGCGGCCAAATTGTGTGCTCCCCTCCGATGTCTCCTATTGGCAAACTGCTTTGCTTTCTCCTTTTGTCTCACTCACAGGAGACCCCACTGTCTGCTCCATCTCCAACCCTGACTTTGTCATCTACTCTTCAGTGGTGTCCTTCTACCTGCCCTTTGGAGTGACTGTCCTCGTCTATGCCAGGATCTACATGGTGTTGAGACAGAGGAGACAGAAACGGATCCTCACTCGACAGAACAGTCAATGCATCAGTGTCAGACACAGCTTCCCTCAACAAGTAAGCACCCTGGAGGGGCAGAGGGAGAACAGTGCCCAGCCCTGTAGCTTCCCAGCCTTGTGTCCAGCAGCTGGGCTGGACCAGCTCGTGCTGCCCCACTGGAGACACACATCTCACACCCACCTTCTAATCTGCTGGTATTGGCTATGCTTTAGAGTAGGAAATCGAATCCAAAAAGCGCATTGTGAGTCTTCCCTAGAGTTCACATTGCTTAGCAAGATGATAGGATAGTTTCTGGACTTCTTCTGCTTTCCATCAAAGTTTTCCATTGCCCCCAAATGGCCAATGGTACAAATATCACACCAGATCTGCCGTTGTAGGGTGGCCTCTGTACCATGCACTGCTGGTGGGTCCCGAGGATTGGCTTTTGAGCAGACCACTTATTCCAAGAATCACCGGGGTCCATGGAAAGCTTTTTTCCTTACTAGATCTGCCCCTGTGTCAAGGTGCTGACCAGCTTGTGAAATGGAAAGCTGATGATGCGTGTTATTGGGCTTTTTGACTCTCTGAAAAGGAGAGCTGCCTCAGCACTGATCTTCGCTTTGCTTGGGCTGGAAAGCCTGCTCATCCCAGTGTCTGGTACATGCTTGGAATCTGCTAGGGAAGGGACATCCGGAATATTATACAGTCTCTGCCTTCGTGGAGCTTAGAATCTAGACAAGCAGATAAAGCAACCCTCTCTGAAGTTAACTAACAGCCCCAGGATGTTTGTGAAATGAGATGAAGGCAATTAAGCACCGAAATAGAAGTGCCAAAGAGGCTATCAGAGAAGAGGTCAATATGCTCAGGAAAGGGCTTCACAGACAGAGTAAGAACTGAATTTGATCTTGAAGGCAGGTCCAGTTTGGATGCCTAGATTAACCTATAATGACCTGAGTGAGAGTCAGTCTCTCAAAGTTGAAGTCCCACAGTTTGGGTAGAACAAGAATATTTGTTCCTGTGAAAGAGGAGGTAAGGACCTGAAGCTGAGGATATGAACAAACCTTGAGGATATTCAAAACATTGGCATCTATATGGTTCATCCACGTAGACCTTAACCTACAACCGTTTCTCCTTCAACCCACCCTAGTCTTCCTGTCTGAGCCTGCACCCCATTCCGCAGTTTTCAATAAGGGACAGATTTCCATCAGATGCCCCGGGGCAAATGGTAAGTAAGCCATGTCTTTGATTAGAAGGAAAAAAGAAGATACCTTTTCTCAACACTCTGACTTGACTTGCTTCCACTTCCACCCCAAAATGCAATGGCCCTGATCCCTTACTTGTATCTTTTGTATATAACAGATATGAGATCCTGGTTTGAGCTTTAGAATAGGAATCACCACTATTGAGCTAGATCCCAATGACTGGAGCCTGTGACCCTCGGACATGGTATGAGGATGCCCTCCAGAGTCACCTGCCTAGAGGGAACAGGGTGTCAGTGAAACACACATGGGCAGAGCCAAGAAAAGCAGAGAAGAGAGGCTAATGTGAATCTTTCAAGTGTCCTGTTTCCCACTGCGTATGGGGGAAAACCAAGACAATTTCATGGTCACCCTTATCTTTGTCCTTTCAATTCAAGCCAGCCCTGCCTCCCCAAGCAAGCTGAGTGAAGAATGGAGGTGTTAGAAGATCAATATTCTTCTGCCTGAACTCCAAGTAAATATTAGGAATAAAATTTTAAGAACTCATGATGATAAAGATCTGAGCTTTGTGCCGTCTCTGTACAGCTAATTAACCACTTTTTAGACAGGCCTTGTGAGGCAGTTAGAGATTCTTACTGTAAATAATTTTTTAATAGGTAAGAATTTTCAAGTTGCCTATAGCAGATCGAAGGTTTGAGGAGGCTCCAAGGCCAAAAGGAGAAAAGTAGAGACTACAAAAGAGAGAATAGAGAGGCAAGAGGCTGGCATTGCCAGGAGCTTGGAGAAATAGGTCTGTCCTACAATCTGGGAGTGGAGGGCTCTGCCAGCCAGACCCAGAAGAATCCAGTGTTTCTTCATGCCAGTCATGGAGGTAGTGATGAGGGTTTGCAGAGAGCTGAAAAATACACTCAACTATATGTAATCTGGGAAGGATCACTTTTCTTCTTTAGGACTGAATTTCCACATCTGGAAAATAGAGACAAGTTATGCTAGATCAATTTTCTCAAACCTGAGATTTCATAAGGACAGTCAAGAATTTGTCCCCAGTCCCTTAGTTTCCAAAATAATGCATTTGATGTTAAATATCATCACTTTTAGAAGATTACTAGATGCCAGCACAATCATAATCTTGGTTATAAATGGCCATTCACACAATATGCTTATATTAATTATTTAAAAACCCCATCAAAATGAAAAACAAAATTTTTTAAATTATACTAGACTCCCTATGAATACTTCTGTGGAGCACAGTTTTAAAAACACTCTATCATTTTAAAGGTCCATTGCACTGATTCATTCAGCAGTGTGTCGGAGTATGTACAGTGCACTAGCCCTGTGATTCCTGGAACTAAGGCAAGAGTAGGGAGCATGTTGTTGACACTAACATATAGACAAAGGAATTTACTGGAAGGATACCAAGTAGCTCAGACTCAATGAGAAGGCTGGAGAATAACTTCAGACAATGCTATTCATGCCTAAGGAAGAATCAGGTTGGAAGACCCTGGACACTGGACACTGCCTGCCATCACTGCTAGACAAATTCTGAAGTCTCCCTACTTCACCAGCTCCAGTCCAAGGTCTTAGGTGCAAATCTCTAATTGGCTGGGCTTGGTTTATGTGCCAGAGCTCTAGATGACTGGTGGGGATGTGCGGAGAGTGAATATATGGCTTTTATGGCTTTCCGTAATGGGAGCTAATGAGAGCTAACCTGCCCTGCTACTCGAGATTGACACAGTGTCCAATTCTTCAAACATGGAAAGAAATTCAGATGTTGAACACACACACATCCCCACCAAATACCAGAAACGTCCACATACTCTCAGGGTCCACTCATCCTAAACCTATTTTTTCCCAACTTCTTTTCTGTTTTACAAATGAAGCTCAAAGACATTTAATTAACTTGCCCAAGTATACATCTAATAAGTAGGAAAGCTGAGGTGAAAATGCTGGGTTTTCTTACCCTTTTTTCTCTTTCTTTCTTTCTTTCTTTCTTTCTTTCTTTCTTTCTTTCTTTCT